CTCTGATACACCAACCCCTATTGCCCCAGTTATTGCATCAGTCCATCTCATCCAGGGTCTTCTTTTCCTGCACTGTCCCTCCACCCTTCTGAGCATAATGTCCTTCTTCAAGGACATCTTCCTCCTTGCCATGTGCCCAAAGTATATGAGACAGAACTTCAAATTCCTAACCTCTAAGGAGAAACTTGGTTTCATTCTCTCCAAGACAGACTTATTTGTTTTCTTGGTGGTCCATGGTATGTCCAAGACTCTTCTCTAGCACCACAACTGTCCCATATTATTGTTGTTGTTATGTGCTGTCGAGTCACCTGTGTCTCATAGCAATCCTACGTATATTAGCTCTGAACCCTGCTCTATCCTGAGCCAATCTACCATCTCTGACACACCTACCCCCATTACTCCAATCACTGAGTCAATCCACCTCATCTAGGGTCTTCACCTCCTGCACTGTCCCTCCACCCTCCCAAGCATGATGTCCCTCTCCAAAGACTGGTTGGTTCCTCCTTGCAACATGTCTGAAGTGTGCTTCAGACTCCTTGTCTGGTTTCATTCTCTGCAGGATGAACCTGTTTGTTCTCTTCATGGTCGAAATGCTCAAGGCAGAAAGACATTCTTTATTAAATAGCTCCTGTGGCCTAATGAGTAGGAAGCTACACTGCCAGTTTGAAGGTGCAAGTCTTTAATCTGCCGACTGTTCCATGACAGAAAGACAGGCAGTTGCCTCACATTTCATTAACTGCCTCTGAAAACCGACTGGAGTGCCAGCTGTGAGTCAGTTATCCCTTGGTTTAAAAAAAAAATTCAAGAAATATTTCTGGTTTAAGATTTAAAGATTATCTCAAGACAGTACTTTCAGGAGTTCATCCAGCCACAGTGGCTCCAGGAAGATTGCATTTTTGGAGAATTTGGACTTCTACTTTTTGTTCCACTCTCCTTCCCACTTTGGTTAAGACTCTTTTGCAGTCTTGAATCAAAATGTCCAGTAATGGTAGCCATTATCAGTTGTTCCCGCTCATGGCAAAGGAGACAGTTGTTTATAGAGGCAATCAGGCATATATCCCGTTTCCTCCTTCTATTTCCTGACTCTCCTTCTTCTATTTTTCCAAGAGAAGAAGGGCTAATTGTCATATCTTGGATTTAATAGTTGTTGTTCGGTGCCATTAAATCCAGTGTGACTCACACCAACCCTATGAAAATACAGATGTGAACAGTATCTAACTTGTGCCATCCTCACAATCTCTGACACACTCCAGCTTGTTGCTGCAGGCACTATGTCAATAAACCTGGTTGAGGGTCTTCCTCTCTTTTGACCCTCCACTTTTCTAAGCATAATGTCCTTCTCCAAGGAATAGCCTCTCCTAACAACATGCCCAAAGTATGTGAGATGAAGCTTTCTTGTCCTTGCTTCCAAGGAGCACTCTGCCTGCAACCTTCTCTAAGAAGCATTGTTTGTCTATTGGCGGCTGTTCAGTACTCCTCTCCATCATAGAGTAGAGATCACTGAAAGTGCCTTCTTTGAAATGACAGTGTATTGAACAGTTGTTGGAACAGTTTTCATTATTCAAATCCAGCTCCGGTTCAGTAAATTGGATATACAGGACTGACATTGGATAAGTCTGG